ACACCTGTAAATATATATGAGACTCATTTGTGCGCTCCTCAGTACAAATTGATCTTACAGTACAGATGACAGGTATCGCCACCAACTTCATAAACAGCAGTACATCGGTCATTTGAACAAATGCTTCGCTGCCCTACAATCATAAGAACCGATGGAACAAAGTAAATAAGAGGGAGTGAAAGGGGACTTAGAGTATTCCATTAATGTCCTAAGCAATCATTCAGGGCAAGGCGCTTACACCTTGTAAACAACCTACCATCACAAACAGCTGGATATCGTGCAAAGATAAGATGGCATCAGCGAAAAAGAATCCTTGTGACTTTCACAGCACTGCGCCATATTCAAACATTACTCCGCAGATAACTCAGCACCAAACAACCTTCAAACAGGCAGTCTGACTACGAGACAGCAACAGAAGCGCCACTAGTGTCGACTGCGAGCCATGTCCTGTAAACTCTCGAGTCAACCACAACGCGAGTCACGTGGACTCCAGTCTGAAAGACGAGACGGACCACGGCAGGCAGGTTGGTCGTATGTGACTATATTTCACGCTGCCAAGTCAACTCCTGTCCACCTCCAGCTTTGTGACACTCTACACCTGGCAGACTTAACAAGGCCCTCCTAGGTAAGCGGTGACCAGGCATACGTAGCACGTGCCCAAGCCAACGCAACCTATAAATTGCCATCTGTTGTCCTAAGGAGCTGGCATGATTATTACTACCTAGTACTCGCCCACGCAAATCATCGTTACGGACACGTTGGTGCCATCCGACACCAGCAATGCTTCGCAGACACCGATGACCAAAGACTTGAAGGCGCCTCAGACCTTCCCACCGAAGTGGGCAGGGCTCACTACCATAATGTAGGACGACCCACACTTTGTCCTTGGATACCCGGTCTTTCAGACAAAGGGAAACTCCCTTCTGTCGCCGAAGATGCCGCCGGCTCAAGAAGGCAGCTCTGGCCTTTACAATGCATGAACTGACTTCAGTTTCTATGTGTCCATCGTTGCTGATTCGGCTGCCAAGGTAAGCTCAAGTTCCTACTTGTCAAGGGCTATGAGATTATCAAGTAACTGGTGATTCCGCAACAACACTTCGCACATTGAAAACACGAACTGCATACAGAATAATGGGACCATTATACACAAGCTATTCAGGCTTGATTGTGCCGCCGCGATGTCGTCAAAAACCAGGACGACATCCTCCGCATAATCAAGATCAACTAACCCTTCGCCAGACAGGTCCGCAACGCCTACATCGTGATATTCCGTAAGCGACCACTTCACGATAGAGTCTACGAGGAAATTGATCTAAAACAGAGAAATCGGACAACCTGACGAGCGCCATTTGTGGTCGGAAATCCATCCGACAGATCAACGTATACCCTGACGCGGCATGTAGTCTTCTACTATAGAACAGGTGGAATGTTTACAAATTTCGTGGGAACAACTTTCCGCGCAGCGATTTCATACAGAATGCATCGATCGGCCGAATTGAGCAAACACTTGAAATCGAGGAACACAGCTATTGTTGGTCAGCGGTGTGCGTGGGGCTGTTCTAGCACCTGCTGCAGAGTGAATATATGGTCTACGGGGCAAAGTTCTTCCTGCTTTTTCTCTAATCCGAGATTCCCGTTCAGCAGTGAGGCAGCGAATGAGAATCGAGGCCAGTAATGTTTTCACAACTGGCGATAAGCTAATACCCCTGTAGTTAGAACAGTCTGTGCAACTGCCCTTCTTGTATTTTGCCACTATAATCGATTCACACAAGTTAACCTGGACACTTTTTTCCTTCCAGAGTTGTTCGAACAGGGAGGGCAGTGATTCTCAAGGACCTCGCCACTATCCTCAAATAGTGCATGCGGGACGGAACCTGGGCGAGCGGCACGAAAACGATTGAGGGCTGTGATCGCATTTCGGACCTCGGCCTCCGTCGGAGCCTCTAAACTAACGGTCCATGGTTCGTCCTGCATCACCTGAGTAGGAAGTAGTCCTGGAGTGGGAGGTCTGCTGAACGGATCTTGAAATTGTGCCGCCCAACGCGCCATCTGACCTAGCTTATTGTGTAGCAGTACACCCGCGCTGTCTCTGCTTGTCTCACTGACGCCAGATTTCCTGGGACAAGTGGTGTGGACCAGCTGGAAGTACTTGCGGTAGTTGCCTACTGCTTTTCTCTCCTCCATTTCTTTAGCCTGACTGGTTCCCCAGGGTTCCTTGTCAGCGCGCAGATATCCGCTTACTTTCGCGCTTAATAGTCCGCCTGGTCACATTGTGTTCAGATTCAGTCGGCCGGTTTCTTCCGGATTGCTACTGGTTCACCGAACTCTCGGATATTCAGTGACTAGTGCAGAGACGATTGATATTGACCCAAGCAGATGATCGTGCTTCGTGCATGGCGGCCGAGATCTCACTTCAGTGCAACTCAGTGTCCTTAGGACAAGACAGCGAAACTTCGGCACGCAGTGCGTCTTGTTAAGCTTGCCTGACCAAGGGCTGAGACAAATTCTCAGTTCTAATGTTTTCGTCGCAGTTGCCAATCGAGGAGACTCTTAAGGAGTCTCTCGGTAATGTTCATGGAGAAACGACAGCGAACCAAGGCATAATCAGAGCTGACGCATTTGCTCCAGAACGAGCGGCAATCCGAGATGGAACAACGCCACCTGTAAGTTATGGCAATGTGATCAATTTGGTCCATTGCTGGCAAGCTACAGGAGAACGCCAAATGGCCCTTCGGCGCCCAATGTGTCTAAAAGCAGTGCTACTAACAAACAACTGGTCTCCGCACACAGTTGCAGCAGACGATCACCGTTGTCAGTCCGTTCGGAGTTAAACCCATAATTACCACCCAGCTGCGCTTCTGAAGAGAACTGACGCCATAACTGTGTGTTCATATCCCCTGCAATTACTATAATATCTGAATTAGTAGCACTGCCTAGTGGAGTGTACAGTTCGTAGAAGAATGTATCCTTGACAGCATTAGAACTGCAGTCGGTAGCAGCATAAGCGGAAATCACCACCAAACAGCGCCTTGTACTACTTCGTGGATCAAACTAGGTCGATGTTTTCAAACAAGCTGCACACAAACGCCTGTTCAAGGGATCCCAATAAACCAACGATGTTTCAAACTTGAAGCTGAGGATGACAACTACCCCAGTTTGACCTGTGAGTGCTGCATCAGCGTCTCCGGATGCGTGCAACCAATAACGAGAGGATAAGCCGGGTGCAGTTAATTCAATAACATCGTTATTGTCATTGATCCCAGTTTCGGAAACGACAAACGTCAATACCCAGTGTGCCTAAGGTGCGTGCGAGTGCAGCGTGCTGACCGAATTGTCTTCGATTACGAATGTTGAACGCCGCCAGGGAAACGGGACATCGTGGAATTATAAGCCACTGTTACCGATGCGCATCCGGTGGATTTGTGCGAAGGTAGTTGCAGTTGGTTGAAATTTAGCGGCATTACGGCTGTTATCAATAAAGCTGGAAATTATAGAAGGATGGTTAGTAGTGGGAGTCGGGATGGGAGTAAGAGAAACAGGTGGCAAAGAAAGAAGGGGCACCAACAGTAGCATGTTTTCACTTATCCGCCCTTTTGTGTGCAGCAAATAAGGCGACCGTTGCTAACCTGTGCGACGGCCGATGCAGGATGTAGTTAGAATTTGGGGAAATTGTCCTGGTTGTATGTGGGCTGAGATACTGCCAGAGTTCCCAGATCTAGACAGGAGAATGATTAGGGTCCTCACATAAAGCCTTTGGCTCATACGCCTGTCCGCAAGGCAGGAGGAGGTGGCAATGATTTAGCTTTACAGAAATGGACGCCATCCCATTTCAAATCCCCAACCTGGTGCACCAGGAGACTGAGTTTGTCTGACCTCTAACCATTGACCAACCTGGTAGGGGTATCGCTTATTGGGCCCGGAGGCACCACCCAGTATAATTCAATGGTTCAAGCAAACCGTCGCACCCCGTGAAGGTCCCGTCTCGTTGTGATGCGTCGCCCTCTGAGTGACACAGCTCAGGAACTACATTTTTGTTCTCGTAATCAGCGCCCAAACCTTATTCAATTCCATAGACAGCTTGACGACAAACTGGCACCTTTATAGTGCATAATAAAGCCTTTGACCTTGGAATGGCGGCATTTATGCAAAACAAACAGTGGACTATCAGACTACCTTTAAACTCCAGGCTGGAATTCTCACATATGTACTACTGCAAAACTAGTGGTGAGTCATGTAGGTTTCGCGTTCTTTTTTCGATACAGATTTAATTTTGCGGGGCTTGTTAAGCATCGTCTTTTTTGCCCCTTATAATCCGTTGCTCCAGTGCTCCTTCTACTTTTCTTCTTTGTATTTTTATCCATTCCATTACAGTCTCAGACGTCTCTTTTATGTATGCATCTAGATACCACGTATCATGTGCACAAGTAGAACTAAGGTGGTTCATCAATTTCAACTATCCCGTGTCAATACACAGTTCACTAGGAGGATAAAATGTGTGGGTAGCTGCGACAGAGTTACATTTTCTCATTTATTATGTTGCAACCACCAACGGAATGCCCATCTGAACCGGGTGAGTACATACATAAATACCGAACGTAAACTAGCCACGCGAGTAAATGCCTGAATACCCTCTCCGCTATTTTGACACTTGCCTGAGGAACGCGGACAGACAAGACACCGACGACCACAGTTCATATGATTCCTTATCATACCTGTTAGCCGACCAATGAGATTGCTCTGTTACTGTGGGCTGCGGTATAAATGATGACTCTGTTCGTACTTCCACACATCGTGCTTTGCGTGTTCTATTAGTCGGTGTGCAGCGTCTCCTCACTATCAGAAAGCTCCCTTCGTTTGGATAATGTAATCAAGCCAGAGACCATAGGAAGGAGAATGCATCTTCGGTTGATCACTTTGAGACCTTCTGTCAGCTATCAATTTTGTGTTACAAGTGTGTGTCGGTGTATCATGTAGTGTGCACCGCAGCGTAGGGTACAGCTATGAACCGGACTGCTGAGTTGTCACCGAGCACCGATGTGCTTTCTTTGGGCATATTTCTCAGCCTGATTGCTGTGGCCACCATCGGTGGAAATTTACTGGTCATTCTAGCAGTAGGCATGGTGCAAAAGCTACGAACTCCGAGCAATTTTTTAATTGTATCCTTGGCTGTGAGTGACTTACTTGTGGGCATCCTTGTCATACCAATTACCACGGTAGCTGAGTTGATGCAAACGTGGGCACTAGGTGAAGCAATGTGTGATATGTACATTTCGTTTGATGTTTTCATGTGCACTGCCTCTATACTCAATCTTTGCGCAATATCGATCGATCGCTATTTGGCCATCACAAGACCATTGCAATACGCTGCCAAGCGCACTCCCAAACGGATGTTAATAATGATAGCCGTCGTGTGGGTAGCCTCTGCCCTGATCAGTATTCCTCCGATGTTTGGTTTCAAAGAGGAATTTATACCCGGAAAATGTGAATACAGTGAGAACTTTATTTATCAGATCTATGCAACTTGTGGAGCTTTTTACATACCCCTTCTCGTGATGCTTGTGTTGTACGGCCGAATATTCATGCTGGCCAGACACATGGCACAAGAAGATGCCAGACAGATGCGTGTATCCGAAACTGTTGCACAGAGGACCAGTGGAACACCTCTGGGTCTTCAAACGCCCTCCATTGATCCGACACAAAGAGACAGTGCTCAAACGCAAAATTTAGAAGGTACTAAATTTGACAGCCCCTACTGTAACGGTAGAGATAGAATCGAAAAGAAGCGTGGATCCCCTGGCAAGCTCAGTGGATCTGGAGCGATGGAAAAATATCCACTTCCTCCTTCGGAGCTCTGTAGGAGACGCAAACCTCGTCCACTTTACAAAGATAACTCTGATGCAAATGAAGGACAATGCATGAAAAGGGAACCTGTTGCAGATTCGGTGAAAGAAACGCCAACCAACCAAACTCCATTATCACTGACAGAAGAGTTTGAGGAAAGAGTAAGGATGCTCAGGAAACTTAGGGCAGAGTTTTTTGAAGCCCCACCATCGCGGCATTGCAGCTCCCTCGTCTTGAATTTGCAAGCAAAACGGGACACTCGGTCTCATTCACTGGTAGTAAATACTCATTCTGAAGATGGCAACAGCCCATCAGACCCGACAGGTGTGGCTTACCAGGATCGATCTCGTTTGGCTTTACATCCAAGTCATTCACTGAGAGAGGAATCACAATTAGTTCACGATAGATGGAAGCAAAATATTGCCCCCATGCCTTCGCCACCAATGTTATCCATTTCGGATTACACAGAAGTGCACAATATAACTCATATCGCAGTAAGCCCCGACAAAACTCCGCGATTAAATGAAAATGTTACCGAGAAATTTGTTCAAGTGCAGCCTATTCTACTTGGTGGAGTTGTAGGTAACACGAATACCACAACAACGCTTCGGCCCAGGCCTCGTCCACTTCACCTAGGACGGCGTTCTTTGACAAATACACCGGAACAAACCGGTCAAAGAGGAGTGGGGAGGTGCAGCTCTTTGGCATTACCAAGTTACAAGACTGAAAGAAGGCTAAGCACGCCGACTTCAAGAGAGCACTTGTCGTGGGATGCTCTGCGCCGTGAGTCAAAGCAATCCCCAGTTGGCGGGTCTTCCAGTCGCCTATTGTATCGTATGTCAGATCACACTACCGGCGCATCCTGTAGTCGTAATGCCAGTTTGGCTAGTATAAAAATTCCCGTGAAGCGAAGAAAACCACGTGGACAAAGCGAAACCAAAGCAATCAAAACTCTCGGTGTGATTATGGGATGCTTTTGTCTTTGCTGGATCCCATTCTTCATTATCGCGGTAAGCAACAGCTTAGGAATAGTTTCTTGTAAATTAGGAACGCAGCATGTAGGCATATTTGCGGATTTTGTCTTGAACTGGATGTAAGAATTAGCTCTTTCACAATTATATCGTAATTCGTTCATTTATTGCCAAGAAGTACATTCAAACGTACTCCACACCACTGCATCGCGTAAAATTCTTAATTTTTTCTTTGTAGCACAATCTGCTATGCATAAATACTTCACTATTGAGGACATTTTATCTCACAACAATGTTGTACGAATGTGGAAATCAGAGGCTAATACCGAATTCGGACAAAACAGCTGTCTGCCCACTGGTTGATCGCTCCCTTCTTATGCTTCCTTAACAATTCTGATGAACACTAACGGTTTGGGGAGTAAATTGCGGTAGTTCAGCAATCACTGTCGAATGACTTACGAGGGAGAAAACTGGATCGTGTACTTATGCTGCACTTAGTCGATGCCAAAACGAAAAAATGTTGGGTTGTTGGTGGTTTTCGGCCATGCCTGTACTGGCTTGTCCCATGCAAATACCGATTGTTCTCAATAGTATCAATAAGCACTATTATTATATTCAATACATTGGATAAGACACTAAATTTTATTAGGTTTATTCATCACGTACTCAGCGTTCCCCTTTGCAGCAACCTTTCATTGACTGATTCCTTAAAATAAGCTATTCAAATAGGAATCCTTTGTTGTCAAATCTAGTTATTGAAACCATGCATTATAGTGTCTAAATTCGCAAATTAATGACCCATGAATTCTACTGGGTGCAATCTGAATTATATACATCTTAGTGATTCTCATTCATAATGTTCCCTGTCGTGTGCTTTGGAGTTTCTGCAACTAGAAACTTGCACACGATTTAAGAAAATGGTCATTTTTACTTTTAAGTGATGCTGCATAACTGTTCTCACTTGGAAATGTTGGTCTCTTTAAACGTATTCTATCCCTATTAAGATCAAATTATTGCCCAAATAATAAGCAGAATAAAAACAAAGTTGTTCAACTTGTTATTATTGCAACTGATAAACAGTTGAGCCCAAATTGCCACTTTATCTGTTGTTATCAATAAGTAGATCAATTTATACACGAATGAAAATTTGATTTAAATTGATGAGAATGATTTCAATTTATTAAGCCCTTTGCCTTTTCTCAAATCATTACCACGGTTGAATGCAATGTTATCAGCAGTACCTCATTCACAATTCAAGCCGAATTGAGACAAGTCGTTTAGACATCACTTATGGCTTAGAGCAGGGGATAGTTTCGCGAGTTTCCTGCCCATAAAATCAATGGAAAGCGTAGCCCAGCAAGGCGGCTTGTTGAGTGAAGCTACCGTGCCACAGTTCATCCTCAAGTGTCCGAGAACAAGTGTCGTTTCGGCTAAACAGCAAATCAGTAGATGCAATGTCCGAAGAATAATGACTGAAGTGAAAAAGTTAAAGCTTGTGGGTTGCGCGCAGTTGTTAACAGCCCACTTCAGACTAAGGGTAGAGAGCGCACAGATCTGTGAAGGACCTAGCTATGAATCCTCTAAAAATACCGAAGCAATGTTTAACGAAAACTGCCATCTGTTCGCTCAGAGAAATTAACTCTATGAGCCAGTTCGTTAAACCGATTAAGCATGTGATTTCATATGCTTCAGTTTGCCACTTTGTAATCAAAGTATTCTGTAGTGTGAAGCAAAACGTTATCAAAAATGCCTCAACGAAAGAGCCGACGCCCCCAGAGGCAATCCATACATCAGCGTCACATAAAGTGCGCAACGGATATTGTGTGCGGGAGGATATTCGGTTTTCGAATATGCAGAACAGTTAACAGCAAATTGGTTGTCTTAATTGGCCTTGCTATACCCTTGATTCCACCAACGCGGTACAGAACCGGTGAAATGGAATCATCAGACACCAACCAGGCTCGAGACTTCTCGACTGCTTATTTGACTTTTTCTGAACCTGATTTCTGCGGTCATTTTTGTGCAGTTCTGGATAAACTAGTTCATCTTGCGGTGGTGGAATTGGTCTTCGTTAAAGCAGCTTTATCTCATGCCTATGAAGCAGTCGTCTCACTATATTGGTTGGTATCAGAAATGAAAGAAAGGGTAGGTCATCCCAAAAGGCGTTCAATCGGGTAGCATCTTTTCGCCAGAATGACGGACGTGTAACCTTGGCAACTACGCAGCAACAGGATGTAGGAGGCATTATCAGTAACAAAACTGGAAAATGCTTTCTGTGCTTGCATACTTATTGAATTCAGTACAACTTTATTCCACAAAAGGTATTAACGAACTGAGAACTGATAATTCCTAGAGTGAAAATGATGCAATCATGTTTTATTGTTTTCCACTATATAACTATTAGCAGAACATCATCTCTTAGTAAGCTAATGTCATAATGATTTAAAATTGCAAATAATGTTATGGGATGAAGTCAGCGCTTAGCCGCAGACTGGAAGGGAATCAAATAGTAGCCTATTAACCAAAACAGTAATTTAGCACAGCGCACATGCACCGTACTCAGCTTGCTGTTTAACTGTACAGAAACCACCAGTATGTAATTACAGCGGGGCACTTAATTACGTTTTAAATAACTGACTAATGTGACTGTTTTTCATCGCAGCAGGCACAATGACGCAGGTGGCCTACGATACAAGTAGGTTCGAACTTTTCTTGTGTACGTCAGTGTTTCACACTTACTACGCAACTGAAAGTCTGCCGGTTGCTGAAAGGAATATACGCTTGTCTTGTAATCCGAAGCACACCAGTTCGAATCCGCGTAGATGCGCGTGGTCTACCCAGCCATTACGGTATATCCAGCCTTCACGCGACTGTTCGTAGCCGAGTGAAAGCGAAACGTGGGTGCGGTAGGCTGTTACCATGTCACCATTTGCGCAAGGAAAGAAACGAGGCTGTTATCACATTAGCATACCGGTTATGAAATTTTAGCATAATATTTTTGACCATATGTGGTTCTAAATCGGGCTCTATGTTACAAACCACTGACATATTTCACTATCGCTTTGAGTCATGTGTTGTAACTAAAAGGTTGGTATCCTTGAAATGGGAAACTCTGTTGCACGTGCTAGTAATATATGTTTTGTACGCAGCAATTCTCGCATGCGACAATATGATAAACAACTAGCACGTTGTAATTTGTACCAACCTGATCAGGGTTAGTCATAGTTTGACGCAGATGGAATCAATGCTTAATGTGTTTTCTTTATGGGCGTGGTTAGCAGTGAGTCGGGGGCTGCTTTAACCGCGTACGATTCATAGCCTAAGAGGACAGTTGTTTTACTTGGTGTTCTTGCACTACATCACACATAAAATCGGTAACCACTACAGATGTAGCAAAAGTGAGCACATAAGATCTTTCTGAACACAATCAACTTGGAAGGTTCGCACAGGTGACTGTGTGTGCAGTAAACTAGCATATTGATTTAGAGGCGGGTATGCACCTGAACAATGGGCACATTCACTAGAACGGTTCAGCATACGGTGTTTTGGAATTAAGTAATTTATCTGATGAGCGATAAAAGAGAATGCTTCCGCATTACCATGGCTACCAACATTGGGCACCTGCCCGGTTGTGTGACTGCTTCCGTTTGTTTCCATGGTGGGCGAAATCACTCGGCGCGTGTCAGAAATATGAATTACTTATGAAATGCATGCTGTGGAAACAGAGCTCAGACTTTCCTTGTTACCGCGACTACATCGCCATCTTTGTACTGGAAACTGGATTTAAAGCGTTTAAAAATTTCAAACTTTACATCTTTGTGATGCAAAGCTACACGAGAATAAAAGTCGCAGATTCAATAATCATGCGGTCGGTAACTGGCCCATGTGTATCACGGCACGGAGTAGAGCTGTGCGGCTACACTTGTAACACCATCCAGCAAGATGGCATTACAACCTGCATGATCGGGTGGGTCAGCTTTGTAGCTGGATCACATAGTGTCTATAGAATGTACCAGAACTTACAGACAGGAATTCGCCGGTGACACCTAAAGTTGTAAAATTAGCAGCAACGGAAACTGTAAACACTGTGGTTTAGTAAGTTAAAAATAGATATACATTAAAAGTATGAGTACACTTAGACAAGCAGAAATTTGATCATAGAGCATCTTGTGATATCCATTTGGTAATAGTACATCGTAGCCCTAAGAATAACTAAACCATGCACTGCCTTCACAGGATGCATCTTAACTTGACAACTTATAAATTATCCGTGGCTGCTTAGATGTTACAGTCAACTCTTCTGTGGCTACCAAAAATAGTCACCATTGGGTGTGAGTAAAATGTATTTTAATTGCCGACGCGTCATGTTTTTCGGAAGTATTCCGTCAAAATATTAGTAAGTGTGCGACCATGGATAACTCATAAAGGACTAGTCGGAAAGGCCCTGTATTACAGGTGAGCATGCAGGCGTGCCGGATGGATCATAAAACTGGGGAAAGCGTCGGTGGTAAACTGAGCTATGGTCCGTAAAGCGGAAACAAATCCGACATGCTGCAGGGCAAGATATTATATATATATACATACATATATATATATATATATATATATATATATATATATATATGTTGTAGTGTTGACAACGGACTCCTGTCCCAGAGTTGCATGTCGCTGAGGCTGTTCCCCCTCCTGAGAACAATCGACAGCGGTGTGTATGAATACTAGAGCACAGTGTAAAAAGTCAAATACATGAACATACTATTAACTTAGGTATATCATCTCCAGTGGCTCATTCATGTTCGTAACAGTGACTCACGCAGACTAAATCAAGGTGGTCTTTACTAGTTCGTGTCAGCTGTTTCAGGTAGTAATTATAATGCTAACTACCTCAAACTTCAAAGCCAGCATGATCAGATGACATTAGGAATCTTGATCTAAGTGGTATATGGAACTCTGCTTCACTGGTACTGCCACAGTATAGATAACAGTTTGATCTGGTGAAAATATGCAATATATTGATAGCATTTATCACATGCTTGGAA